TGAGAAATATAAGGTGGGAGTATTACTTGTTTCCATAACAGCTGTTAGGCCCCTCCATAACATGAACTGACGTTAAAGCGAGCCAACGCTATTTATTGATTAGCAAAGGTTACAATCGTTTTTGCAACAGACAAATCTTTTCATGACATTATCTTTACTCTACCTCTGTGTTTGTCGCGTTTTTCCTCCTCTTCTCTTCTTTTTCTCCTTCCCTGGGCACCGGAAAGTTTTGGTCGTTTTGACATTGTTAATGGTTTCTGGGGTCACGTCAGAAAACTCCACCATCTCTCAGAGAGCAGGTAGAGTCTAATCGGTCAGAGGAGGAGGGGGGGACGGGGGGCTTAATAAAGTCTTATTATTGTTTAATAGGCTTTGCTATGCAGTTAAATTAATGTGGGCTTATTTTTTTCATACTAAGAAATAATAGCACCAAATATTGAAAGTTGCACCTTTTTTTTTGTTTTTCTTCCCCCATTGTGGCGCCCCCTAGATGGACGGCGCCCTTAGCATTTGCCTATACTGCCTATGCCACGGGCCGGCACTGTCTGCCACACAAAAACACAGGGTTATACAAGCGTTTTGTTATCACTTTAACCTATGATTGTGGTTGAAAGTGCATCATTAACTGCATGGTAGGGTATGACATTAAAAGCGTTGCTATGGTTACCTTCATATTAATAAAGTTCCAAATGGAAGGATCTGCTGGTTCCAGTGGTAATTCACCCCACTCTGAATTCCCATTTTCGATTTCTTCTTTTATTATATTTCAGTATTACTCAACACAGAAATTCACAAGTCTGCTGGAAAATTACACAATCCTTCAAACCGTTTATGTAATGGCTACCAGTTTGCCGCAGCTGTTACGGTGAAAGAAGCACATTCAAAATGTCTTGCTGTTGGAATTGGGAACATAACACTGAGCCATGAATCCTTTCAAAATTGACCCAGAAACCAAATTAATTTAAGTGGCAGATTGTATTATCATTTTTCTCAGAAATGCAACTTGGTAGTCGAAGTTAACTTCTCAACTTATGTTTGTATGTGCACAGATTTGTAATTTTGACTTTTTATCAAGGCAGAAGATATTTCTGAACACTGTTTTTGATCTTTTTCAGATGATTCACTCAGGGGAGTTTTACATCCATCCAAGCTGTACAAATCCTCATAACTCTATATCATTTGATTAAAAGTGGTACAACTTAACAGACATCTGTCAGACATTCACAAGTTTAATCATTAGCAATGCTTTATATTTGAGCTTACAATACATTTTTTGTACATACATTTATCTGTAAAGTAACAAGCAGCTCCATACAACTGGCAGGCAGATAGTGTAGGCATAAAGCTGCACAAGCTGCAAACTTAAGTACCTCAAACCTGTATTTAAATACACCTTTTGTTCAAATGTTCTTAATTACTTCCCACTTTCACTCTATATTTTATGGACAGAACCGCTTTAAATGTTTATGTGAACAAAACATTGCTGTCTGGTTCCAGGAGATTTCCCTTGCTGCCCAGGAGAGCAAAGTTAGTGCTCATTTGTGGCAGATTCCTGGAGGATCTATCTAACAAGTGATTGGCCTGCAGCTGGTTGACAGTTGGCTGTTGGCCATCAGTTGGCGGTCTGAGCTGTTGGTTCATAGATTACTACAAGCTACTACAAAAACATAGATAAACAGTGATGTATGAAGCTTGCCTTAGTTGAGCATTTCCAGAGAAAGTGACCCGGATTTATGTAAGTCCTTATGCACAGCATCATTTATCAGGTGAAAAATGTTTGTTTTTGCCTGGATATCTTCTTAGAATAATGTTTTTAAGTCTGTGCAACTTTTCTATTGTGACCCAATTTCCTTTCCCCTCCATCAGCCCAGGCGGTTGACAAATGCATGGTCTCATGTGGAGGAGGCAGACACTGAGAGGAGCCGCTGATGTTTCCTGTCGAATAAATAGATCCACCTCAGGCAGCGTCAGCTACGTCCTTATTTGTCATAAGTGTCCGCTGTTTCCCATGGCTAAAGACAAAGGCCAAAGAACGTATGAGGAACATGCATTTTTAATGTGACATTCTCATCAAATTCACCACAGTGGACTGAGCAGAATGCCAATGACGCTTTAGTCTTCTTCCAATTACAGCGAGACGATGCAACAATATGAATGTAAGCCGTGAAGGGCACATCTGCCTCTAACATGACGAAGGCTGAACAGTTCAGTACTTCATCACTCGTGAGCCTGAACTTGTGAACTTCATATTGACATTGGTGCAGTGTCTGATTACGAAATAACTTGTTTTTCAAATAAATATTCAAAAACATTAATCAGAAGAGCAGAATAGTGGGAAAAATGTGAAAAACAACAATGTATAGCTGTGTAAAATCATTGGTTTAATGTCAAAGCCACATTATCTTCTCTTTGTGCCTCCTGTCAAGAGAATGATGTCTACACTGATAGTGAATAATACAGCATATAAGCAAGCAGTATATCACCATTACAGCTTACATTATTTATACAACATGACATCCCGGTGAATGCTGATTTAACCAGACTCACCTTTATCTTGTTGCAAATATGCTGACCATTACTCTGTGCCCATTATTTGACAGCCCCTGAAATGTCACTGGAGACTGAGAGATAGCCGGATTCACTTCTGCGTTCGGAGAGAGAAGACTGCGGGAATGTAAATAATTCTTGCTGGCACCAAACCATAGCTTTCATCTCTGATGTTCTTTTGCAGTGGTCGGTCCACACTCCATCATTATAATGAGGGAGGCTCAATTAGACAAGGTCTACAATGGGGGTTTTAAATGTCACAGTGCAGGTCCTGACATTTCTGTGTTTGATATGGAATCAGAATGGGAGCGGTGGAGTTCACAGGGAGAACTAATCTCAACTTCCGAAATAACAAATTCCACCCTGTCACAGAGCTGTGAGAGAAGGCATGGTGCGGCCACTTTGGAGACATTTACGCCCAACAATGCAAGCTTGCCCCTTTGAGAGCATTCTAATTATTGAATCTATTAGCATTGTTCAGGTTTGTAATTAGCCCTAGGAGGTTAGCGTGTTTAGGAGAAGCATGTAATGAAGGCTCTTTGGGTATTTTATCCAAAAGGTTATTTGGTCGTCAAATCAAAAATGACTCAAGAATGACAAACTTTCAACTTGTGGTAATTGCGGTGACCACAATTACCAGAATGGCTGTAGTTGAGGGAAAATGCATTTAATCGCGTTTATTCTGAAATAGTGTTCACTCATCCCCCTGTGAGTGTTACTTTAGCGTACTTTACACTAGAGTGCTGAAACAGGACTCCCTCTCACAGTTCTGTTGGTAATCCTAGCATTGTTCGTTCTGTGCTCCTCTGAAATGTCGTATTGCCGTGTTAACAGAGGATGGACGTATGATATTATCTGAAACCAGCTGCATCAAATAATAATTTGTCAGTACAGCTATGTGCCATAGCTTAAAGTTACAGTGACAGGGGATTTAGCTTCAGTAATGTTATTTAGATCTCTGTGAAACTGAATATGGATGGCATTTAGTTACAAGAGCAATTTAAAGTGTGTCAGTGTGTAACATTTAGGAGGATCTATTGGCAGAACTAGAAAAATATATTCATAGATATGTTTTCATCAGTGTATAATCACCTGAAAATTAGAATATTTGTGTATTCTTTACTTGGATTGAGCTGTTCTTCATCTAGATGGAGTGTATCCACTTGCATGGAGGGCACCATGTTGAAGTGTCATGTTTCAAGAGAAACCAAAAATTAGCTCTATATAGGGCACTTTGCATTTTTTATTTTCACGGCCTCCATAGTTTCTCCTTCTGGCATACAGTGGATGGCAAACCGTATGTCATATTAGTGGATATTTTTTTTAACTTTTTGCCGTCCTCTAAGATGTTATTTAAAAACTGGATGTTACATAACTCCCCCGTACAAGGAGAAAACATGGGCAGTTTGGACAATGAGATGCTGATAATTAATAAATTATATAGAATTGTATACACAAAATAATTGTTTTTAATATATTTTATTCCTTCTTTGTAAACGATACGAAATCACAGCAATATATAGATACACGTGTTTCGGTTTGCTGTCTGCCATTCTTTCTGATGGTTTGTTATTCCCGTGCTGTCCAGAACCTGAAATATATATATATATGTAAAATGCATATTTCAGCATTTATCACAATAAGGTCATTTAGTGTATAATATATATAATTTACAACAGATTTTCAGTGTGTTTTCTCAATTTACTCTCGCCTTACGGAAAAAATAAATCAGACGCAGAAACAATCGCTCCAGAGTGTGAGCCAATTGCGGCGCTCCAGGCTGTGTGAACAGCTTTGTGAACAACGCTTCATGGCGTGTCTGCCTCCTTTGTGTCTCCGGCTCTATATTCCAAACATTGCTCTCTAAAGGCCATATAGATTGGTTTTGATTCAAGTTTTTGAGACAGAGAAGCTGGGGTAAGGCAGAGTTGAAACACCCTTTATTTACCAGCACATGTTAACAACCGGGGGAATGTGGAGGACCAACAACATCTCAAGTGATTTTGCATACTTGGTGTCATGACAGGTCAATTTTTAAATTTGACCGTATCGGGATGAGGCATGCAGGAACAACATGCTCCCTCGGCATGAATGTCAAAAAACAGACTGTTGCCTTCCTATCACTAGCAGAAATAGTGGCCGTATACAGTGAATGATTTACCATCCCCTCCATGCTCCAGCTCGACTCTAATAAGCACCGGATTGTTCACCAAAATAGGAAGAAAAAACCAGAGAGGGTGAAAAGATAGAAATCCATTTGTTAAGTCTAGGCTGTGACTATTTGCATGGTGATGAAGGCCGTGAGTGTTCTGCAGTGTTCAGATGCGAGTCCCTGACAATAGAGCCTGTGTTTGTTCTTCTCCAGGAAGTTTGAAAAGGGCAGAAATGGGGAGAGAAGAAGAAGAAAAGGGGAGGTCGTCAGCGGAGGGGATTACGCGCATTTGCTTCTGCTATTGTGGTGACTGAATTGCTTTCCAGTACCAGGGTATTTAGTCAAGCAGATTGTGTTTCTTTACACCCTGCGATCATCTCTCTTGACGGCGGTTGGTGACAAGTGGATTGGGGGACAGCAGCATCACACAAACAGGTGGGTGTGTTGGTGGACACTATACATCCCATAAGAGATGATCTTTTGTCAGAAGATAATTAGATGCAATTTTATATATTGTCGAGAAAAGAATGTATAGAGGAATACAAAGAGTAAAGAGGTTTTCAACATAAAAGCAGCAGCAGAAAGGCTGAAATTCATAATAACTGAACACAATCAATTCTAAATGTGTTTCAAGGGTTCTTTGTATTTGTCACAGCAAGGAATCATTACATTTCTTGGCTCTCTTAAGATGGCTTCTGGCTTTTTCATAGTGTTGTACCTTCTGAAATAACTGACAATGTTTTAAATTCCTAATAAGTGATGTAGTTGTGTAAAATATGTATTTTCTTTTTTTAGTTCACCAGTATTTATCATCTAAAAAGTTTATTTCATAAAAATATAAACTTTTTTTCACCCCATGTTAAGTATTGGCCTACAGTATGTAGTAACAATACACATGATTAAAACAGGAATGTACTACCTCCATGACCTTTCTGTTGGTGGCTCATTCCAAACATGTTCTCAGTGAAATAGCTTGTCTGTACATTTTTTTAGTGCACTTATGCAAAGGCCATAAACGGTGACGGACAACTACTCCATTTCTAACTGAAGAACATCCTCAATATGCGAGGAGAAAACCTTGGTAAAAGAGAGAAATGTCCAGAGAATGCTAACATGATTTGGCATAATCTTCCCAGAACATTGGGTCATAATAGAAATGAAAAGACTGAAGGAGTGAACATTGCAGCGTAGTGGATACTCAAGTTCGCTTTAGCCTTTCAAATGGGTATATTAAGATGATCATCCGTTCTCAGAATGTTTCTGTTGGATATTCCTTGATGTTTAATTTGAAACGTTGTCACAAACTTCTTTTTATCACTGTAATTAAGTCTTTATAGATAATTGGCTGTAGTTTAAATCCACTCATCGTTATTTTTCTTTTCTTGTGGAGTATCAATTAATTGTTTTCAATGAAAAAGAAAGAAGACAAATAATAGGATGTAGTCCTATCTCTAATAAATGTCAGTCGAAAGTCGTGACACTTGCTAAACAGCAATAATTTCCTCTTGTGCACATAATAAACTCAAACAAATTACTTATTTGCAAGAACACGATGGCTTGACATTCCCCTGGTGTTCTAGCTCAGTCTCTGGACTCATTTGAGGTCCTGATTTAGGAGACGTAAACTACATGTTAGTGTTATTGTTTTACAGAGCTGAACAGTAAACAAGTCCATGATAAGCTCCCAAATGACCAATTAAGGACGTTTTGTCTTGGAACGGTAATCTTAAAGACGCAAGGCTGGATTTTTCTTCAAGTTTCCAAAAGATTGAATGTGAGATTTGAGTCCATATTTACATCCATCGTCACGTTTTCAGCTTTTTTCATTTTTAAATAATTCACACCCATCCATTTCTTTTTTCAATTATCCTACATAAGACCAAGTCAGAAGATTGATGCTTGAATCAAAACATAATTAATGCTCATACAAAGTGAGCATCATGTAGCAGTTAGCGTTGGCACTGCACACTTATATTGATTGTGTCATCCACAATGTCAGGTAGAAGCTGCTTTTTCTTTATTGCTGCGTTTCAACATTTGCGTTGGCACATTAGACACATTTTAACATCATCCTGGAACCATTTCTACAACAGAGCGACATTTTATTAGCTAGAACACATCACCATATAGGAAAATAATGTGATGGTCTCACCGCATCTAGTGCTTAACATTGTGAGACTGCAGCTCGTTGTCATTCTGTCATGTGCGTACTGTACATACAGGCTACAGGAAGTCTGCTGGAAATGGGAGGAAGGCCTATTAGAGGTAATGAATGGCTGTCAACCTCAGGGCACTCTGCATGTAGTGCATGTCATGTAGAAATGAGAGTTTCCTTTGAAAGGAGAACATTGACCAAAGGGTTAAATAGTGTTTCTTTTTTCTTATATTTTTAGTTTCTCTTGATTTCTTTCAGAACTTATACACCTCTAAAGGATAACTGACACATTTATATTATGAAAGGGTTACATGGAACGGATCTATCCCTATATTTAATGCTTTTAAAATCAGACTTTGGCAGGGTCATCATTATTATCAAGCACTATCAAGCTGCCTGTCACACATGGACATGTGTTTTACTTGCTCCCTAATGCCTTTGCTATTTACAGACCTGGAGCTGGGAGTTTTTTGGCATACCCATTATTTTCCCAGAATTTCATCACTTATTTCTAGAAAGGCCCATCTTGTTAAATTGGCACCTAAACATCTGTTGACCTGTGCACTATTCCAGCCACATCAGTAAGGGCTGATACCCCCAGGAAGATTTTTAAGCAGACTCCTTGGCATGTTGGCAGCTGAGCAGTTGCTCAGAGTAACATCATTGAGGGCTGTTGTCTCGATTTGGCTCAAGGCGTTCAGTTTGGGCGCGTGCTTGGCAGCCCTATGAAAGACCATAACAGCTCACGATTCAGTGGCCACTAATTGGAATGTCACTCCGCAATGCTCGGAGATATGAATACGGCCCGTAAAGACATACATAAGCACAAACACATACTTTCATTCACGTTCTGTATCGAAATTGAATTTCAGAACTGAAAGCCCGCATCAGTAATTGATTTTACCAGCTCATTACAAATGGGTCTTGACGGCTAATTTACTTTTACAAGATTAAACATGAACATTATGAGCTGCTAAAGCATTAATACTGCAACTACTCAAACTGCTGAAACAACTTCCTGCAGTATACTCTATATTTTAAATTTCCACTGGGACCACCCATGCTAAAAATGCATGCACTTGTGTTCCTGTTCAGCCCTTTGGATTAAACCATCCACATTGTATGACTGTATATGTTATGTGCTGATATTACAGTGTCAAAAAACTCTATTAAAATTGTTCAGAATTATGGCTGTTGTGACTTCTAGCCCTTAATAACAACTGATCCCACTGAGTGCTGATGTATGCTTTGCTGCTTGAATGGAGAGCAGTAAAATTTGGTTCAGGGTTTCATGTCTAGACAAATAATTTGTGTTGCTTTTCAAAGTAAAAGACTAAAAGACAAAAGTCTAAGATGATAGGAAAGTAACAACATTACAGTTTTGAGCCAAACACAGTAGAGACAAAAAGATTGCCATTCTCATTTCATGAAAAATGATTTAGTGATCCCACTTGGTAACATAGGATGACAAAGCCGTGATGTGATATTTTGGTCTTTTTGACAGTAACATGTCGAGTTGAGTTGAGAGTGGATGGTTATTGTTACTATTAGAAATAAAAGACAGCATAGTTAATAAGTTTATATAAAGGAAATTAATTTGTTTCAATTAAAGTGTTTTCACTTTGTATTTTATTTGTGTTGTCGTAACTAATTTCCTGTCTGACTTTCATTGCCCTTATACTCCTGACCCTCATCTTGGCGCACATTATAATTGGTGCATCGATTCGACTCATAGTTTGTCAGAGGCATGTGTGTCTCTGTTTTCCATGTCTGGGGAGACATTGATCTAATTAGAAGTCTTCATTAGTCAGCTGCAGAGTGCAGTGTCATGCTTAAGGAATGATGTTCAGGCCCTGCTCCCCCCGATGAAACACAATACAGAGCCTTGTTTGAATTCAAAACAGAGGGCTGTTTTCAGCTGCTGTGCAGGACTGCAGGATGCAAGACAAAAAAGGAGAGTTCAGACAAAGGGATTGTCTCTCTCCTATAAAGTTTCTGCTCTGGTTTTCTTGCTTAAATGTGTTATCTGAGTTGTTGTTGTACAATGGATTTGACATAACTTTTCAGATTGTTAGACTGCAATGATGTTTCTATACTAAACTGACAATGTGTAGGTGATTTGTGGTGGCTGTGCTGCATCTGCACCACTTATCGTAAACGGCTGAAATACTTGTGGTTAACGTCAACAACACATAATGGATAAATGGTTGAAATTGTTACACAGTGGATTACTTTTAGCTATTTCAACCCTTTATCCAATAGCTGCTGCAACAATTTCAAACATTTATCCTTTAGGTTTTCAACAGTTTATTCTTGTAGTTGCAGTAACTGGTTTAATGCACACTTGCTAACTAGTTTTCACACACACAAAAACATAATACTGTAATGCCTATGTTTTCCAATTTAGTTGAACTACTTTACAGCCTTTCAACCACTGATAGTTAGGACAGTCATCTCTTTTTCCTTCAAATTAGATTTGCCTTTAATTAAAACTAAAATCCACTTCTAATTTCATATAAATATTCACTGGCTTTTTATGTAGCTTTGTCATTTGAGAAAATATAAAATACTTCACATATGTACTTAAAGCTTTGTGTAATTAAACACTCGATTTTCAGATTTTGTACTGCTGCCACAGATTTCAATTTCCTCATTTTGGTATCTCTGTGCACTGTGGGAAATTTGTCACTGCAGCAATTAATTAAATTGTTAACTTTTATTTCAGAGACATGAGCATGCATACAAACCACATCCTAACAAGGTGGGATACAGCACTGCCAGGAGCATGAATTACTGTGCCGTTGCATGAAGAATTGGTAGCACTGGACCAGATACACCTTTATCTTCTTTCCACTAATCATGGGCAGTGCAGAGGAAATGCACGGATGGAGAGTAAAAATGAGCATGCCGAGTGTTTTGGCCATGGTGACGGCCTTTTCTATGATTCCTGGCGGGGTGCTGAGCGATATGAGAGGTACTCAGGGTCTGGAAGCCCAGCAATTGGCCCAGGGGTCCACTCATCTGCACCGTCGCCTGAAGAGAGGCTGGATCTGGAAACAGCTGTTTGTCCCAGAGGAAGATCCCACTCCTCGCGTTATTGGCCAGGTACCGCTTCAGATTGAATGTCCTCCATGTCCTTGATACGGTACTTCCCTTTGAACATGCATACTGTGTGTTGTCTGTTTTCCTCTAAAAAAAAAAAATCAAGCTTTTATATATCCCCTCCTCTTTTTGTAGCTCAAATCTGACTCTGACCGAGGCGAGTTTTCTATCAAGTACATATTAACAGGAGAAGGTGCCGGAGATGTGTTTGAGATAGATGAGTATTCTGGTGAGATCCGGACACTGAAGAAGCTCGACCGTGAGGAAAAGGCCTTCTATGTCCTTCAAGCCCAGGCTATCAACAGGAGGACCAATGAACCAGAGGAACCCCAGTCAGAGTTCATCATCAAGGTGCAGGACATCAATGACAATGTCCCCCAGTTCCAGAACGAACCATATGTATCCAGCATTCCTGAGATGTGTCCAACTGGTATGTTTAAGAAAGACAAGGAGAAAGCACCTCACATTGAAAGTACAGGCATGCAGTGGATGGCAGTGGCAGTCGGTTGGTAGATAACTTCACTGAAAAATATTAACAATTGTTAGAGGTCGCCAGGAAATTTTGTATTTAAATTATTATTGCCCGCCGGTTGAAATGTAATTACTTTGGTGACCCCCCCCAAGCTTTTCATTTGGCACCATCATCAGGTCAATTTGTCCAGTACTTTGGTTTACGAGAAAATGCTTTGCACAACTCACTAACATTCTCATCAACCTCAGCTATACTTTGTGTTTTGTGCTAATTAGTAAATGTTAGTGTACTAACACTCTAAACTGAGACCCTATAAACCTACCTGAACCCTGAACCCTGAACCCTGAAACATCAGCGCGTTAAAGGAATAGTCCGACATTATGGAAACCATTTGCTTTCTTGCCAAGAGTTATGAGAGTGGTATCAGTCTTCTCATCTATCTTTATGGTAAATATGTAGCTGAAAACAGTAGCCTCTAAAGCTCACTAATTAACACGTAAAACAACTCCGGAGCAGTAACTTCCTGGAGTCATTGTTACCCAGCAACCAGTGGAGACTCCAGGGAGTTACTGCTCCCAACCAAGACTATGAAATGGGTATATGTAATTTACACTTCCGTTTGTATATAGGTTAAACAAACAAGATATAACATGCTAATTAGTGACTTTAAGAAGTGCTGGTACGGTTTTGAGGCCGTCTAGCTGCTTCACCCTGTTTCCACATTGTATGATTAGCTAAGCTAACTGGGTGTTGGCTGTTAGTTATGTATTTACAGTGCAGATGTGAGAGGGGTATTGATCTTCTTATCTAACTCCAACTTGACAAGAATGTGAAATAAGCATGCTTCCCACAATGTCGAACAATCCCTTAACGCTGTCACTGTGAGCAATGCTGTCGTTAGCATTTAGCTCCAAACACAGCTGTTTGAATTCATTTTTTTCTTACACCTATATTATTTTCTGTCTTTTTGGGGTGTTAAACAGACCTTATATTATTTGTTTTTTAAATGTTCTGGTAAGATTTGGAATAGACTAAACAATGGCATTATTCAAGATTCAAATGTATAGCTATATTTGTCATGATTAAAACGTTTCAGAGAATTATGTATTGAAAATATTAGTCATACAAACAACAGATTAGTTTTGTTCACAAATAAAAGTTAAACATTTTCTGTTGAACAGATAAAAACTTGTTATTGGCTTCATTTTCTAAGGATATATCCTACTTTTCAAATTAATTTTCTTAACTTAAATCTTGACTGAAGACAATGAACAAAAGGTTATATGAATGTCTGTCATCTGTCCCCATTCAGGAAGTCAAAAGTATTGGATTCTGAATCGTAGCTTGGATGCCTTAAATTTCTAAAATAATGTTATTATAACCACTGCCCTTTCATACCACAAACATTACCATTTCAATTTATATGTAATCTGCTTTTGCAGCATAATATCTCACTCGTAATAAATCATAATGCATTTGACTGAGAAAGGTAAAGTGAGAGGGGAAGGTTGTAGTGCAGGCGACTGAAAATAAGAAATGCTGAGGTAAATCCCTGCCTGTGAGAGAAGAACAGAGTGCTGTCTGGGGAAAAAAAAAGAATGAGATAGACAAGAGGGCTAAGGGAGAGAAAGATACTGTAGAAAGCAAGGTGAGGAGAAGGATATGGTCAGCGGAGAAAAGGGTAGTACGTGTGAAAGATAGAGAGGTGAAACTGAATCAGAGTGCGAAGGAGAGGAAATGAGGGGCAGGTGGATACTGAGAGAGACGTAGCTATAGGGCTGGAGAGGCTGTCACACACACCTGCACAGCCTTACTGAGTTGCGAAAGGCCAACGCTGCTCCCCACCCCCACCTCCCCAACTCTCGCCCCTTTGTCAACATCCCTCCTCTCACACTACCTCAACCTCACCCCCTCCACACACCTCTTCCATTTCCACTGCTCCCCCCCCTGAGCCAGACAGACAGACCCTGCGGGACTGTGGCATAATCACTTTATTTCCCCGTCGACTGGAACTGCTGCCTGAGCTAACTCTGACTGTGTGATCCGCTCCCCCCCCACAGGGACCACGGTGGCCCAGGTGACAGCCACAGATGCTGATGATCCCATGTTCGGAAACAACGCCAAGCTCATCTACTCCATCCTGCAGGGGGAGCCCTACTTCTCTGTGGAGCCAAAGACGGGTACCACTGAGAGATACAGAGGCTTTTACTTTGAACCATCCTTAAGTCCAAACACAGATCTCTCATCAATCATAGTTTAGGCTGTTAGAGACTAGAGATTTGGCTGTGCAGAAATAATGTTTAACTTCACAACAACTGGGCTAAAAAAAGACAGAAGGGCAGGAATGTTTCCAATATCCGGCTGTTGAGACAGGGAACTGTCTTGTCTTTGGGCTTTGTCCCTCTGGTACTAGTCACTTTTCACAACTCAGACTATGTTTCTCACCTTGAGAATTACATAGATTCCCATGGCAACTTCATGTCATGTCTTACAACAGATATTCTGTTTTCGGAAAAATGTAAGTGTTTACTAGTTCAACTGATGCCAATGCATGTACATTTACACTATTTACTTGTATATAGAGGGCAGTTACAACACTTCCCACACACATTGCTGACCTGAACTGTGGAGAGTTCGGGGAGGGAATTATTGACGTCAAAAAATGTCAAAATGCAAATGAATGCAATATGTAAAAGGGCAAATCTGACTTTTAGGAAACCAATTGCTAAGTTTTCACTCAGGAGTGGGCAGCAGTTGACTCCAAATGACTAAGTTGTAGTTTTGCTCATGGCTTCAGTTTAACTATGAGGATGCATTTAGAAAAATTCTATATTTTCTTATTGTCAAAAAAGCCCATGAAAACCAGCAATGCTCCATCCTAAAAGTATTGCCTGTGTTGCCAAAGTATGATGTATCTGATTGATCTGTGCCATAGAGCTCCATTATCGTCCAAAACATTAAATATAAAAACATTATAAAAAAGCACATGAATGAGCCATTCTGTTGCACAAAGTACTGAAAGACTAACAAATAGTTGGTTTTGGTCTTTTCATGGGGAAGAATGAACAAAAACACCTTCCTTATCCTTGAAAAAAAAACAACTTATTTTTTGGCAGTGTTACATGGCCCGGTGGCTAAAACAGCTCTAGTAGATACTTTATGTACAGCACTAGTCAGATGTGTTCACAATACAATAGTTAAATGACTAGATGAACAGTGAATGGCAAAGGGCTGCTGAAAATCCTATGTCATCTAAACACAAGATTAGATGACTCAGTGGCTGAAATGATGACTTACAAGGCAAAAATAGCATACATTTTCCAGGTCGATATAATTGTCTGGATTTAAATTGTTCCACTGTTTACTAAAGCATTAAGTCGTCTGAAAGCCCTGTTGATATGTCTTTGTATATTGATTACATTTGCAGGCTTGAAGTTTATTGTGGTGTAGTTTTACTGCACGTATTACACAGGCCTCTCAAAGACTACTTGAGGCAAAATTTGTTTACTTACATTGTTGAAAAAAATATGAAAAAAAAGATAGAAAACCACCCACAGATACACTTGATGCTGTCTTAATGAATTCAACTTGCCTCTTGTATCCCTCCTCTCAGTCTGCCTTCTCCACCTGCAGGGATTATTGTAACATCTTGGCCAAACATGGACCGCGAGGCCAGAGAGCAGTACCTGGTGGTGGTGCAGGTGAAGGATATGCTAGGCCTCAGTGGCGGTTACTCCTCTTCCACAACAGTAACCGTCAGCCTAACTGATGTCAACGACAATGGACCAACATTCCAGCACCGTGAGTCACTCATACAGTATGAGTCATAGTGATGCAAACACTTGGCCATACACACTAAGGGAATCAATGAAAGGGTACAAAGCGTTGCAGACTGCAAGGAGATGTTTAATATTATACCTAAGAGGTATTTATTTGATCACACTTCTCCGGTTCGGGTGGGTGGTTTGTGCTGCCAGCGCTGCATTCGGCGGTGCACGTCTTGTTATTCAGACGGCCAAAATTAAAAGGAGACATTGGATGAATAAGAGAGACAGATAGAGGGAAAGAGACGAGGAAGGAGATGGGGATGTTCTGCGTGTGCACACGTACATGTGTCGCCCACTGGATGAATTTAATCATTCACACATGAAAGGACATTTGTCATGACCTTTGGAAACAAACCTAGACTTCTCAGCGATAAACCTCACTGAATGAATGCCCAGGAAAGAAATCAATTCTGTAGAAAGGAAACAGCAAGGATGATACTTTTAACTATTAATGTCACATTGACATTCATTGCTGGTACAACTGTATCCCATGGATTCTGTGTTCAGTCAAAACTCCTTATAAATATTGTATGGCCATACTTCACTTTGAACTGTGCCCTCTGTTTTGTCCCATAATTGCAAATTATTATCAGCAGGGATTTTTTTTTTCAGGAGCAGCTGGTTGCTGTAGAGCTCCTCCCAGTTGTGGCTGCCATCCAAATAGAGTCCCTCAAAGACACAATCACATTTTCTCATCTTCTTATTAGAGTTAGGCTGGGATTATGTGGAGTTGCCACAATTTATCTGTGACTCACACAAATTGACCCTCCACCACAATCTTCTCCCTTCTTATCACTTTACACACCAGCCGATTCTTGACTAGTTGTTAACAACTTAAGTCCTGTAGGTGATTTTTTACTATAGTAACTTTTTTATTTGTTGTTTGTCTCTAAACGTGAGCTATCATTACGCACTGCAAAGAACCAATTTGGTATCATCCAGAGCTTGTATTCCTTTTGATTTCCTATTCCAGCATTCAACGTCTCAGGCTAATGGTGTCAACATGAATCATTTTCAAAACATCCTTTTTTCTTCAGACCTGTACGCCTTTGCCATCCCTGAAAATGCAGCCGTGGGCACCACAGTGGGCAGGATTATGGCAGAGGATGGAGACATTGGCACGAATGCCAGAATGACCTACAGTCTGGAGGATGACCTGGAGGGAAGCTCCACTTTTATCATCAAAACAGACCCGGTGACGCAGGAAGGAGTGGTTCTGCTAGCCAAGGTGAATGTCTTGTATATGAATTCAGTATATTTATTTTCATATCTAATTTTTAATCTGTTGTTTCAAGGGCAGTAGTGTAGCCAGAAATTATAATGTGGGTGGGCACAGAAACCATTAGGTCCTGAAACATTATTTTTACAAAAACTATATGCAATTATTACCATCCTTGTTAAACCACCAGTGTTTAAGATTTAATTAAACTTTCAGACACCAATGTGAACTAAAGTTTAAAAAATCATTGCACCTGATAGAGGGCATGGCAACATATCACTCCCCAATAATCATGCACGCCTCGCCACAGACAGACAGCTGGCAGACCGCAGCAGCATCTACGTTAAAGCACACAGATACACAACAACAACGAAAAAAATTAAATAATTCTTTAAAAAATTAATGAGCCTACCAGATGCAACAGTGTAACAGCCTGGCACCGGGACCCAATAATCACACACAGTCATACACCTGGCAGAAACAGCAATATCATCTCTTTTCCAGGTCACGGACATATAGGAGCAGAGTCTGGCCCCATGTACACAATAAACTACTGTATGCTAGGTTACAAGATAAGAACACTGAATGTAAATAGTTTTCTTTAACTTACTTACTTTTAATGGTTTCCCATCAGCACTGAAAGGTTCCAGTTTTTATCAGAATTGACAAGTTAGAAGAGTGACCACAATACAGTTTGTTTTGTAGGGTGACAAGGGGCTGTATTTCTCTTGGGGAATTGTGAACTGTCTAAGCCCTTACTGGCAATCTGGTAAAATAACAGTACTGTTGTGTAACTAACTCAAACCTAGATATTTTGGGAGCTATTTGGGGAGATATTTCGGGAATTAGATGAGAAGACTGACACCACTTTTATGTCTTTCAATATAAATATACAGACATCAGTCCTGTATTTCCACAGCTTCCTTTCTCTCATTTCAATGGGAAACTGACCAAATCTGACCCGGTTGCAGGCATTAAGAATAACTGTATAGAATTAGCCAATCTTCTTGCTGATGGTCTTGTTTGTTTATGTAGGTCACATAGAGGCATCAGTATTAAATTGAGACTGTTTCATAACCAGTTTCAGAATACTCAAATATAGAATGATGCTGATTGTTAAATTACTCTTGTGCTTCATACTTTATTTTTTCCCACTTCTACTTTATAGCACAGGAGATTTCAGTTTAGATACTGAAAAAAAGCATTATTGACTCTGTCTCTGAATCATTTTGGGAACGTGGTAATGGTTTGCATGCTGTTTTCTTATTACTAGCATCACAATGTTAATTGAAATTGCAGCATTATTTAAGTGCATGCTCACAGCTGGTAGCTTATTGACATTGACTAAATTGTACTATCCAGTCTCAGTCGTCCTGCTTTCACAGGGGTGATTATCTGTCTCAAGTACAAGTTTGCAAAACATACTCGAAAAGCTGTTACTCTTCGAGCTTGCTTAACGATGTTAAAACAGAGGCCTATAACAGCCACTTTTTTTTAATATGAATTGTAAAAGGTATTGCTTTCCTTCACAGCCTTTGGACTTTGAAACTAAACGACGTTTTGTCATGGCCGCAGAGGCGGTCAATGACCACGTGGACACTCGTTTTCTGACTTTGGAGGAGTTCAGTGACAGGACAACGCTCAAGATTGTTGTGGAGGATGTGGACGAGCCGCCAGTCTTCCTCTCACCGGTCTACGAGTGGAAAGTTCCTGAGAATGCAGCTGCGGGAACTGTGGTTGGCATTGTTAGCGCCAGAGACACTGACACAGTCAACAATCCCATCAGGTAATGTGAACCGTCTAAACCAGGAAGAATGGCATCTGCCACCCAACTGCCAGTATGATAATGACGAGGTAGAAACCCAGGCTGGTGGGGGCGTAACGTTCCTAGACAGCTTCCTCCACAGGGTGAAAAATCATTCCATTTCAAATAATGTTACTGGCTCGGTGCATCCATTTTTACCCTTGATCTCTGGATACCCTGTACATGGTCATATTTATCTCATATTACTTTAGTAGGAAATGAGCCCTGCTGAATAAATCATGACGATTTTTTTTATACCTCACAGGCTTTTCTATCTATTGCCATGGTATTATCACAAAGCGACGTGGCTAGGACGTGGGGATGTAATAAAGCAGCATACGAGGTGGCATATGGAATTGAGATTTGCAGTCATTTGCAAGTGGGGCACGTTGCAGAGGAGACAGCAGCAGTACTGGTGCCTGTAGTCCATCTCAACAGAGCTTAAGAGTGGCAGGTGCTGCATATCATCCTCAGCCTTGCGTCTATTACTGTCCCTTTGGTGACAGTGTCTCATTGATTAATAAATTCAGGCTGACATTTTAGGGGTTTCCACAGTTCTGCTAAATATGATTAAGTTTGCTTTGGTCAAATTGGCTTATTTTCCACATCGTTATCAGCAAAGTGGCTCATACAAATGATTCATTACTCGGCCTGTTTTCAATCCTGCTTACTCTAATTCACCATGGTGTTATAATCACTTGTATTAATGAGTGTTAAAGGTATGGAGGTGTGAAAGACCTGTGCAATAACAAGCAAATATTTCTTTCACAAATAATTCTGCTTGCTTGGTCTGTGGATGTTCCTTTAAGTCTATTTTTATATTCAAAAATGCAAGCCCTAACTTGGCACCCACTATCAGGAAACAAGACACAGCGATGTGTATTATGTCACCATAGCTACTACACCTGTAACATTGTGTAGACAGACTATTCAATTCCAAAAAGACTGGACAAAGTTTCACTATGTTTACAATGATATTTTCCACATTTATAAACAAATAGAAAAAGTATGTGGTCAGATTAGAAATAATATGGCATTAAAATAACTGAAAAATACACCAAATTTTGTCTATGACATCTGTGTGAGATGTTGTCGCTGTGTCACACTAGCTTATGTGTGCAGTCTCTTTGTTGGATATCCGTCAACAGATTAAAAAAAATGAGCAGTTTGCCTAATTAATCTCCCAGTGGTATCACAATGTTTTGTTTGCCTAGAAAACAACCTTGCCTGCTAAGTGTGTGTGTCTCTGTGATTTTCCTTCCAGATATTCAATTGACAAAAGGAGTGATACCACAAAAGCTTTCAAAATAGACCCAAACAATGGAACTATAACCGTCGCTAAAGCTTTGGACAGAGAGACTTCAAACTGGCACAACGTGACGGTTGAAGCTAAGGAAGCAAGTAAGGAGAATTTCTTGTGTTGTACAAAAGCATCTTGTTGATAGGGCCAATTTATGGCACATTTAGCCATACTCAGTCATAAACGTGTCCAGGATATATTCACAGCAAAGTGTTGATGATAAATCTTCGTCTAGAGCAGTGATTCCCAACCATATAGTTGCCAGAGGTTAAATAGAAAGCTTGTGTAGTAACTTATTTGAACAAATAGAATCTACAATTTGATTTTAAAAATATATATTGAGTCTGCTGTAACACGTGTACAATACTCTCACTGTTGAGAGTGCGTGAAATGGAAATGGTTGAAATACTGTAGTTCGCTAACAGCAATATATATATGATGAAAGAATACATGGTTGAAATAGCGAAAAGTAATAGATAAACAGTTGAAATTGTTTGCTAAAAGTAATGAATATTTGCTAAAAGTAATGAATATCTAAAATCAATGAAAAGAGTGTTAAGCTAAAAGCAATTAATTAAACAGTTCAATTACTTAGCTTAAAGTAGCCTACATGGACAGATAGTAAACATCCATCTTCAGCCATTCCAAATGCTACTCGTACAAATTTAACCAAACGACCTAAACATTGCTTGTCAAATGTCCAATTTATATTATTCATAATACTAAATAACATCCTGTTTAAAGTTAATTAAACATGGTCAGTGGCATTGGTGGTGTCAATAAAGGGGTACATGAGTTCATCTGACAGGGTTGTACTAAAAATAAAAAATAAGTTTGGGAACCACTGGTATAGAGTGATACAAACCCTAAAATTTCAATAGATGGATTTACTTATTTTAACAGTTTTTTACTGTTTAGTCGGTCTTGGTTTGGAGAAAGCTGTGAAACACTGATGCCCATTTTTTTGCTCCACAGTTGTGTTTCAAACAGAGGAAACATTTATCAGTCTTAAGTATTATTTTGACAGAGCTTTTACAAAGCATTTATGATACATGCACCCAGTGGACTCCAGCAAATGTCTATCTTCACTACTGCAGCGCAGAACCATTTATCCTCCTCTGTGGTGGTGTTCATCAAAGTGCTGGACATAAACGACAATGTGCCAAGGCTTGCAAGAGATTACCAGCCATATATCTGTGAAGGAACACAGGCGGGAGAAGTATGTATATTATGATACACTGATGTTCATGATTTACCATTTAACAGTTTGGCAATGAGAATTTCCATGAAGGTATACAGTAAAAAAATAAAATCATATTGTACTACTATTCTCTACATCTTTTTAAAGATTGAGGTTCTCACAATGACCCATTTGACTATTGTACAGTACTGTACCATTTTACATACATAACATCGTCAGTTGCTGAATGAGGGTCATATTTCTGACAAAGGAAAGGTGTATATGATTACATAGTCCTCCTTGGAAATCTGGTGTGTGTATGTGGCACTTGTGTTTCCTATACTTGCTTAGTAATGTGTCTTTGTGTCTCTCAGCTCATTCAGCTGCTCAGTGCTGTTGATCCAGACGACCCTGTGGAAGGACACCACTTCTACTTCTCTATGGTCCCTGAGAAGCATATCAATCCAAACTTCACTATCAGAGACAATCAAGGTTATATTTAATTTATTTTTTAGGCACACATGATACCTCTTCAGCTCTAAATCTATTTTACGCTTAATTTAACATTTCACGAACCACACTTATTTGCTTTCCTGCCAAGAGTACCATAAATAGTACCATAAATATGAAACTACAGCCAGCAGACAGTTAGCTTAGCTTCCACCAAGTCTGGAAACACATGGGAAAAATCTAGCTTGGCTTAAAATAATCCTCATTAACAAGTAGCTCATTTGTTTAATCCATACATAAAACTAACGCATAAGACTAACAAAATCTGGTTTTACGAGGATTATGTGCTGTATTTCTTGGATGGACACAGGGACTCCTTGAAGTTTCCACCGGTTGCCTAGCAACCTCTTGGTGAAAATACTTCACAACTTGTCGGTTTTACACTTACAAACAAGATACGTGTTGATTAGTGAGCTTTAGAGGTGCTGCTGGCAGATTTTTTAAGCTATGGATTGAGCCAGGTTAGCCGTTCCCCACCGTTTCCAGTCTATGTGCAAAGCTAAGAGGCTGCTAGCTTCATATTTAGCAGACAGTCATGAGAGTAGTAATGATCTTCTCATCTAGCTCTTGGCATGAAAGCGAATAAGGGTACTTCCCGAAATCTCAAAAGGGACAAAGACCCCAAAATAAAACCTGAATATCTTATTTATATAATATTGTAGTGCTCAGTTGTAGTTGTGAGTTTGAACATAAATAGCAGAGGGAAAAAGGCTCCTGCTGATAATGATGACAAATCTTGGAGCTGCTCTATAGTGAATGAAAAAACTACAACAGCGATAACATCAAACATGCTGATTTGACTGCGATACAACAACAGAGTCAGTCACAGATTCACTGTCCAAATTCAATCCAATAGCAGAATTGTTTTGTTTTTTTGGTAGATTTTTCCTATAAGTGAACCAGCTGCTGAATGATTCAGCACTGTTGCTGAGACCCTCAGCATAAAGTAAATTTCTATTATTACATCTCTCGCACCATGACGTTTCATCTTGCAAATGACTGACTTTTAGCTGTGGGGCAAAAATGAATACATGAAAACAGATGAAGTCATACTTACGTCCAATTGGTGGCTGGAATACTGATGGTGAGCTGCAGCTAAACCATAACCTGTATGAGCAGTGGTATAACTGTGTGACCGCGGCAGGATATTCTTTATGATAACAAGAATTTAAATTTAAATGAGCACTATGTACATGAAGTGTTTTGTGCCACATTTTGGAATGAAATCCTTCAGCAGAATGTAGTATTTGTGGCTGACAGCCTCTCAAGTAAGTAAATTGAAAGTGTTTGCCTTGTACTCAGTGGGCAGTCAACCCTTTTCCAAGTTTATAATGAAAATGGGCAGTCAAAATCGAACAAACAATGTTGTTAAAGTGTGCAGCAGAGTGATGTTTGAATGTGTCGAATAAGTTAGAATGAAATGCATGCAGGTGGAGTGTATGGGTGGTTAGCCACGCAAGCACAGCAGTCCAGTCAGCAACCAGGAAATGAATAATGAATAAAGAAGGAACACATTTAATAAAACACATTCCCATATGCCACAAGGCAGGCATATTTGACTCCCGAAAAGTTATTGTTCAAGTGTCTTGATTAAGTCTTACGGCTAAACCCAAAGCTGAAAGAGATTTTCCAAATTTACTTTTGTACACACTGAAAATTTGATTTGACAAGGTGTTTGGGCCTTTCAGAGAGCTTAGATTGTATTTTAAATCACATTATGTGTGTCAGTTCACTTGTTATTCAGCTTTGAATCCCCCCCCCAAAATATCAACACTCCCAGTGGAAGCGGTACTCATGGTTTTTTGAAGAATACTGAAAAGTGCACCTCTCTCATTTTTAGACAATACAGCCGGCATCGTTGCACGCAGGAGTACTTTTACCCGCAAGGATCGAACCCAGTACCTCCTGCCTGTTGTGGTGACAGATAGCGGCTCTCCAGCTCTCTCCAGCACGAGCACTTTGACCATCAGTGTATGCAGCTGCCAGCCTGCCGGTCATTGTCCCACAGGGGGGGTGAAGGCCCTCGCCCTGTCTATGGGGGTCAGCCTACAAACCTTGATAGGGATTCTGGTCTGCCTGGTCACTCTCACAGGTAAGCAAGAATGATCCTACCATGTATTCACATCCCATCTCAGTCTAGAATATGGAACTATGATATAATAAGGATTTACGGATATCAACACATTTTTTGGGAGTTTGGTCTCTTTGGGTCTGTCTTAAAATCAGAAAATTAAAAAGTAATGCTGAAAAATAATTAATTAAAATGAAAGCTGTTTAAATATGGAGCCCAAAAACTGACAAAATGTAATCAGTCAAGTGACAAAATATAGCAGAATACACCAATAAATAATATTAATTTAGTAAAAATAGGTTGTAAAAAATAAAATAAAGCATTATTGTTTTCCATCAACCTCCAATCAGTTGATGAAATAAATTAAGATTTATTTATTTGATTCTGTTTCTGTAGCACCTTTTTGTTTTAAACTTTATTATTTTCAAACAGACATTATACATTTCACATCTACAAGACTTTCATTTTTTCCCTTGATCAAGACAAGCAACATGCACTTGAAGATAAAGATAATATGATGACTTTGTGAACTTCATAGTAGTGTCTGGTAGCTGGCTTTTTTAGTGTTAATTTGCTGGCTAAAATGCTTTAGCTACTGTTGCAAAAGTTTAGACAGTGATTCTTTTTTAATCTCCATTTTATTTACTTGATTAACAATATAAAAGAACATCCTGTTTCTGGAGTTTGGCATATTCACAGCCAATAACGAGGCTACCAGAGTATTACCAAGGTTCCTGTTCTGCCAAGTTTCAAAAGACCTTACTGATATTGACATCTGACTAAACACGATTCCTCTTTCTGAGAGGCATTTTGCAAAGGTAGTTTGTTTTGTTTAACCAGGAAGAGGGAAGTGTACTAGTGAGCTGATTGTTTCTGCGCTGTGGCTTCACAATGAGATTTCTGAAGACAGTGAACAGTGGCATCTTAATGCTCGGCACCTATAATTACTTCACTTATTGTCATTAGATATCGAGGAGACCAAGGATCAAACTCCTAAAAAGTCAGTCAATTCCATTTGGAAATAATTACAGAGTATATGAAACAATGACAAACTCATTGATACTGTGTTATAAAAAGTCATTCTTTTTCAGCGAATCTGTTGAGCTAAAGCAGTTCCACCTCACATCGTTATGGCAAGTATATAAATGTGTGTTAAATTGCAGGATTTTTAATTAACAAATTTGCACTTTCATTTGAATCCCCTTTTTAAAACTCACCAGCGTGCCTTTAACACACACTTTTAAAATGCTGAAAGCTTGCAGCGCAAGGATGTCAGGTAATGAGCGTATTGGTTGCAATACATCAGTAGCAATGCCATCCTGGGACATTGATGGGTTTGCATAGAGAAGAGCTTTATTATGACCTCGGCTGCTTTGTGTCCTCCCTGTGCCCATCACATGAAAGATTAATGACAATACCTGCTATGCTAACATTCTGTCAGATGAGCACAATACCCGGTGAAAACACTGCAGAAAAAATAAACACGTTTAGCACTCTGTGCCACATGGAGCAAATAAAATAATTCTTTATTTATGTGTAACCTTAAATTAAAATATATATATATATATAATTTATAGCCTGTAATTTGCCTTCATTTAGATTTTTGTGACTGCAATAAGTTAAAGAAAACAAATCTGGCCACTGTAATGTTCGGTGCACTTGTACTTTCTATGTGCATGCTCCATCAGGCACCCTAAATGCTTTTTTCACACTAAGCTCATGCCCTTGTGTTTAACTGTATTAATCTCCTACTGCGTTGTATCTGCAGCCCTGTCAATTTTAATGCTGATGGTGAGGAGACACAGGCGGAAGCAGCAGGAGGGACTTGAGGTGAAGGATCTGGAGCTGCCGGAGACGGTGTCACAGAAGGTGCTGTATTACGGAGAACCGGGGCGTGGAGGAGCAGACCTGGACTTCTGCCCGCCGGTCGTCCCGCTGCGCCCCCACCCCAGGAAGAGGGAGAGGAAGCTGTGGAGGGAGGACGTCAGGGCCAGCATACGAATGTCCCTCAGAGAGTCCCACCTCATTGGGCCAGAGGACGAGGTCTTCAGGCAGTTTATTCTGGACCGGCTGGCGGAGGCTGATCGTGATCCTTATGTTCCCCCATTTGACTGCCTAAAAACCTATGCATATGAGGGGTCAGGCTCTCCCACAGGGTCCCTGAGCTCACTGGAGTCTTCTACTATGGAGCTTGGACCGGAGCAACCTGTTTGTAATCCTAGACCCTACTTGGTTAGACTTACCCCTTGGTATGGGGGAGGAGATGAAGACACCTTCTGAGGGGCTCTTCTTCTTTTTAAATGTACCCTATGTCATGTATATCATACATCACTTGTAGAAGGGACAGATATTATATATATTTTTTTATGAATTTAATAACTTGTATTTCTCCTGACAAGCATCTTCTTGTGGTTGCGCCAATAATTACTGCCATCTCTCAGTAGCCAAGGTGGGATTAGCATGCCATGGGACAACATGTTAAGTGAACAAGTACTTAAACTTGACTGTTTGCATCCTTTCTTTTACCAAAAGTCAATGTTTGTTTCGTTCAACCTTAATCATGACCGTTCCATAACCTTGAAGATGCGTTAATTTATTTTTTGGCCACTTGGCCACAGTGGAAAAAGCTAAAAACACAATGTAATTACCTTATGAAGTTGTTAGGGTGAATGTGTTGGCGATTGCCTTTTCACACATGCAGCAACAGAAGCATTCATTTGTGGTGGTGATGCAATATTCACTCTCCTAACACTGTTTTGTTTTCCACCACCGCATCTGTTGAGTTGTACTGGGCAGGTAGCACACAGTGGGTTTATTAAATTTTTCTGAAAACAACTGTCTGATGCAGCTGGAAAAAGGAGCATTAAGAGCAGTCTTTGTTGGCTATAAAACCGAAACAATTAGGGTAATTAGGCTAAAGCACTCTTCAAGCTGGGAATGTAAAGTTGGTGACAAGCAACCCCTTTACATTGCACATAGTCATTTCATCCATTGTTACTATTGATTCACGCAGCGTTAACCGGGTACTTTAAGCCTTAACTTTTTGACTGGAATCAAAAAATGTGGCAGATCATAAATTGTAGGTTTAGGTTTCTGAGTGGAGCAATGTGATTTTTGAATTAATACAGTCATTACACTGTAACAGTATTACACTTACTGTATAATACCTACAGTATTACTGATGTGAAATAAAAAATTCTGATGCCATTTGTAATATTATTTAGTTCATGTTATGTTGTTGCTGTTTTATATTTGGCATTTTATCTCATACGGTATCTCACAAAAGTGAGTACACCCCTCACATTTCTGCAAATATTTCATTATATCTTTTCGTGGGACAACACTGAAGAAATGACACTTTGATACAATGTAAAGTAGTCAGTGTACAGCTTGTATAACAGTGTAAATTTACTGTGCCCTCAAAATAACTCAACACAGCCATTAATGTCTAAACCGCTGGCAACAAAAGTGAGTACACCCCTAAGTGAAAATGTCCAAATTGGGCCCAAAGTGTCAATATTTTGTGTGGCCACCATTATTTTCCACCACTGCCTTAACCCTCTTGGGCATGGAGTTCACCAGAGCTTCACAGGTTGCCACTGGAATCCTCTTCCACTCCTCCATGACGACATCACAGAGCTGGTGGATATTAGAGACCTTGCGCTCCTCCGGTTTCCGTTTGAGGATGCCCCACAGATGCTCAATAGGGTTTAGGTCTGGAGACATGCTTGGCCAGTCCATCGGCTTTACCCTCAATATCTTTAGCAAGGCAGTGGTCGTCTTGGAGGTGTGGTTGGGGTCGTTATAATGTTGGAATACTGCCCTGCGGCCCAGTTTCCAAAGGGAAGGGATCATGCTCTGCTTCAGTATGTCACAGTACATGTTGGCATTCATGGTGACCTCAATGAACTGTAGCTCCCCAGTGCCGGCAGCACTCATGCAGCCCCAGACCATGACACTCCCACCACCATGCTTGACTGTAGGCAAGACACACTTGTCTTTGTACTCCTCACCTGGTTGCCGCCACACACGCTTGACACCATCTGAACCAAATAAGTTTATCTTAGTCTCATCAGACCACAGGACATGTCCTTAGTCTGCTTGTCTTCAGCCAACTTTTTGCGGGCTTTCTTGTGCATCATCCTTAGAAGAGGCTTCCTTCTGGGACAACAGCCATGCAGACCACCTTGATGCAGTGTGTGGTGTATGGTCTGAGCACTGACAGGCTGACCCCCCACCCCTTCAACCTCTGTAGCAATGCTGGCAGCACTCATACGTCTATTCTCCAAAGCCAACTTCTGGATATGATGCTGAGCACGTGCACTCAACTTCTTTGGTCAACCATGGCGAGGGATGTTCTGAGTGGAACCTGTCCTGTTAAACCGCTGTATGGTCTTGGCCACTGTGCTGCAGCTCAGTTTCAGGGTGTTGGCAATCTTCTTATAGCCTAGGCCATGTTTATGTAGAGCAACAATTCTTTTTTTCAGATCCTCAGAGAACTCTTTGCCATGAGGTGCCATGTTGAACTTCCAGTGACCAGTATGTGAGTATGAGTGTGAGAGCGATAACACCAAATTTAACACACCTGCTCCCCATTCACACCTGGGACCTTGTAACACTAATGAGTCACATGACTAATTGGGCCCAATTTGGACATTTTCACTTTTGTTGCCAGCGGTTTAGACATTAATGGCTATGTGTTGAGTTATTCTGAGGGGACAGTAAATTTACACGGTTATACAAGCTGTACACTGACTACTTTACATTGTATCAAAGTGTCATTTCTTCAGTGTTGTCCCATGAAAAGATGTAATGAAATATTTGCAGAAATGTGAAGTGTGTACTCACTTTTGTGAGATACTATAACAGTTCATATTGTATGTGTATTTAACATTATGGAATTATATAAATTAATGTATACATCCTTTGGTTATGTTTTTTCTAAATAGAGATTTTGTTTCCTGATTAGCTTTGTTCTCGCAGAAATTAAAGTTCATATACAGCAGAGTATCCATTAAATATCAACTGTTTGACATGTATTATTCTGTATGATAAGACTTTTTTCTTTTTGTTGAGTCACCAGAGAGCACATCACACTACTTATGTAAGCCAATCAGCAGCGGAGCAAGCACATGGGTGACTGGCAGCAAAACTCTAGCAAAGTAAGGTTGAAAGAGAAGAAAAAGTTATCTGAGGCTTGATTTGAAATGTATAAAGAAAAGTGAAACTCTTGAGAAACACAACAGCTGGAGTGCTGTGGAAAAAAGTGCATAATATACAGCGCCTGGATCTTTTCTTTCTTCATGGTCATTTACAGTATTATTGGCAAACACTACATGTTCACTGCTAGTTGTGTGGGTGGCTGCTCGAGGGGTGACTTGAGGTAATTGCATGGGGATGAGGTCCAGCCCCCTTCACCTCCTCATCCACTAATTGGGCTGTTTGCTGTCTGTGAAGGTCAGTGTTTGGACCAGAGAGAATATAGTTCTCACTGAAGAAAAAACTGAAAAAATTCATACACAAACCTATTTGAAAAGTAGCTGGAATGCCTCGAGGTAAGAGACAATATGACGGAAACAACTAATTGCTTGAATCTTTTCAGCTTTTCCTTTCCCGCCGTGGTTACTTGTATGAGTAGGTGCACCACTCAGCAGGACAATTTCCAGACATCACTGGAACTCAAAGTGAGCTTCAAATAGCTTCCACTGTTGGAAACAATCTATCCGGGCAGTCCTTTTTAGACTAAATCATTGTCTCACAATGGCTTTAAAGACACAGGTGTTCACAAAAAAGGCCTTTTTTTAAACTCCTTTCAAACCAATCTTTGCAGTCCAACATAGAGGGTATTGGATTTGCCCATAAAGGCTCTGTTCTAATTCCTTTTTCAAAAGTACCTTAATGTCAAAAGTCATTCAGCTCCTGGTGTCATTTAACCTTCTGAATTTCTGTCATTACCCATGGTGAATATCACGGGTAATTTAACCTAACAGCCCTTTTCTTTGTGTAATTATACCCATTACAGCAGTGTGAAGGATTTCACTCCGTCAACTGTCTCTGTCCTCTGCTCTCCCGCACAGGTTATAGATTCAGCTCTTCTTTTCAAACCCAGTGCCAAACTCATCACAAACCACCACAATGCTCACTAGAGGGTCTCCAAGAAGGGCTGTCATTTGGCAGACAGTGAGCTGATTGAAAAGATGCCTGAAAGGATTTTGGAGACCCATTTTTTAAAAAACAATCATTAGCAACATGTATGCCTTAAGGTTTGGCTGAGGAGAAATCAAATTGTTCATGTGCAATTTGGGTATGTGAACGTAATTATAGATTATGGTGATTGAGATTTGGATGTGATTCTGAGCATCACAGTAGTGTATTCGTGTATTTGTCTAAATTTAAAATATCACACATATTGCCTGCAGTTTCAATTAATGATACAAAAAGTGTGCAATGAGAGAAAATGCTTTGGGGTTCAGTGACAGGTTGCTGGTGAACTACACCTTTCAAGTTTTACTGTTGGTTGAAAGCTTCCATATTCTGTTCATTTTTGAGGTTGAAGAGAGTCTGCACTGTTTAGTCCGGTTGAATCAGACTTTTTTCAGGTTTATTTCCCCCTTGATGCAATTTGTTGGGCCAGATCTGAACCCAGCAATCATACTTGACAAAAACAACCACGTTGAGACTCTTTAGAACAAGTGGTTTTGGTTCTGTGACAAACAAGTTCTGGAGAGGTTCATTTGTGGTGGTGATCTGATCCAGATGACTGAGTGGTGGGAGAAGGCCTTACATCTTTTATGTAAGTAAAATTATCAACACCACAATGTAAAAGTCCTGTATTACAAGTAAAAGTCCTACATTAAAAACCCTACTTGAATAATCAAACTGAAATATTATCAAGGAAACATACTTAAAACTTATTATTAATACTGTGGGAGCAGCATTTTACTTTTGTAGCTTTTTAAGGAGAAACAAGTAAATTGATTCTGCTTGTTCCTAACCCTAACCCTAAGATAAATCTGAAGATAAATATGGTTGGAAGGGAAAAAAAATACACATTTGATTGCAGTTTTAGGACTTTTTTTTTGTGAAATGTTGGAAATATCTACCTCTTTGGGCCTCCAACGTTAAAAGTAAATATGAAGTTAAGAGGGGAAATGTCTCTTTTGTGGAACAACACAAGCCTTAAACATTGGGAACTACTAGTTCCATCTTCATTAATGCATTGTATATTATAAATGTATGCTTTTTTTAATGTTAAATTCTGATCTGAAAAGTAACTTTTATACATATATTTGTATATAAAATCTTGCTCAAGAGACGCCTCCTGAATCGGAAAAGATTTTCTAACTAGAGCCTCAGAATTTAAGAATATTATATTTTTTATCTTGTGTGCATGAGATCCATATGTTATTAATGCTAAGGGAACATGATTATTTAATTTACTATATCTATATCTGATTTCCGCTAGTACAGTGAGATGTTTGGGAAGATAGAGATTGGTTGAGGAGGATGGATCTGTGAATACTTGATATCCTTAATAAAATATTTTATTGATTAACCAGTGATCCTAGTGATGTCAAATTGCAAGCAATTAAGGAACAGGACAGCATTTTTGATATAAGGATGTAGGCAGTAAGCCTAAAAATCACAATAATCAATATTAAACCACATTCACTATAATATTCAGGGAAACTAACTTCCATGTGTGAGCCCTTACACATAATCAGGCTGTTATCACCCCAGCATGTGTGCTGGAGTCAAATCTGACAGCAAATGTGTTAAAAGATTATGCAAACTTTAATATTTTAGGATTTACAGAATACATTTCCTGCAAGTTATTTCATGTGAACCTTTGCTATTCTGGTCCATTAATGAGCTTTCCCTCATTGCGATGAGACTTGGGGATTGTCAGACTTTGAAATGAAATTAATAAGTAATAATGGCGTGCAAAAACTTTTGAAACTTGTTTTGTTGCTCATCAGAGGCTAATTGGTGGCTGTTTTGGGGTGTAATATGCGGCCCCATTTACAAGACAGTTGATAGTTTGATATTATGCCTGAGGCAACTGGATTATTATCAAGACCATTCATGCTCAAACTGAATTTTGTTTTGGGTTGATGGATCTGGCTGAAGAAACTCTTTTACATTGCAAATTGACCATTTGTTGTACAGTGATTTTACAGTCATTACAAATGGGTACTTGTCTATGATTGGGGC